GCGCCCCCCCTCCTGCTCCCCCTGCCGGTTCCTCCAGGAAATCCAGCGGGTGCCGTCCCGGCTGTACTTGATCTTGTACATGGGGGTGAACTCGTTGCCGTGGCCGCCAGCGTGCCGCCCCTGGGTCCCCACCAGGGTGACGAAGTGCAGGGCGCGCAGGTCGACCTGCAGGAACTCCTTGAGGTCGTCTGGCTCCACCGGGACCTCCGGGCACCAGGCCCCGTCACCCTCTTCTGAATCAAGCCTGGAGCAGCGCCGGGAGGAGATAGCGTCACTCCCTCTCGGCGCCGTGCTCCCCAGGCGCCAGACCTCGCCTGGCCTCCCCACAGCCCACCCCGCCTGCTCAGGCCCCTCTGAACAGCGCAGAACCGGGCAGTCCCAGCCCCTCAGCCCGTCCTTCCCCTCACAAGGAGCCGGGGACGGAGTCACAGGTGTGGGCGTAGGTCTCAGTCCTGTCCAAATGCTCCCCCCCAGGGCGTTCTGGCTTCGGCCATGGGCCCCCAAAGGGATCCCGGTCCTGTGGCCAGGGCAGAGCTGGGTAATGAGCTGCAGAGTCAGAAGTCCTCCCTTCCATGGGGCACCTTGCACCCCTCAGCAGCTCAGACTGGGTCTGGAAGGCTGGAGCCGGCTGCCACGTCTGAGCGTGACCCGTGTCCCCTCGCCATGGCTACTGGCTCTCCTGGCCTGCTGTCCTTACCGCCCCATCTGAGAACTGCCCGCTGCCCTGCCCTGCCCCAGCAGAGCCAGGCCTGAGCGCCAGGGGGGCCCCAGAGGGGGGCACAGCACCACTGCCCCCGACTCTGCTCACTGCAATCTGGGCTCTCACCTGTGGACACCGGGACAGCACTGGCTGCCCAGAGCGGGGGAGGGCAGCAATGGGGCTGCCCTGTCCCTTTTCTGAGCCCCCCCCCCCGGGGGGGAGGCAGGCTGGGGTGCCGGGGCGGGCAGGAGGCCAAGAGTAAGTGTCTGGGGTGCCGGAGGGTGCTCTGCTCAGGGTGCGCAGGCAGCACCTTTGCCATGGCCCATGGCTCCCTTGCCTCCCCTCGGCGCATGGCGACCGTCTCCCATTGGGTGCAATGAGCTGCAGAGCTGGCACTTGGGGTGGGAGCAGCACGTGGAGCCTCCTGGCTGCCCACGTGCCTAGGAACTGCAGGGACTTGCGGCTGCTTCTGGGGGCCGTGTGGAGCCGGGGCAGGTAGAGAGCCTGCCTGAGCCCGGCCCCGCTGCAGCGCACGGCTACCAGCCCCGTGAGCGGCACCGACCAGAGCCCCAGCCCCTTTCCACCAGGCGTTCCACGCTCCGTGGAGTGCTCCTCACTGCCCCGGTGGGTCTGGCCCTCCAGCAGCAGCACTGGCGCCTGCCCCAGGCCCATGAGAGCCCTCGCGCCTGGGCCAGGGACCGGGAACGACTGGCAGAAACACAGGAGAAGCCTGTGGGAGCTCAGGTGGCAGGGCAGAGCCCAGATGAGACACTGGAGAGGACGGGTGACTTGCCCCCAGCACCGGGCGGTCGGCAGCGCTGGAGATGCCAGCTGCAGACAGCGCCCTGCCCCAATTCCCC